TGGGTAATAATATGGTAGCTAGACCTTCAAAATTTATGGGTCTAAACTTTGTTTGTTAGTGCTGTTTCTTTGCTATTCTTTTACCCTTCTTGGTCAGAGCGATGTAGTGGGAGCTGCAAGCTTCACGTGCTCAACTTTGGCAGAGAACTTTGGCAAAGTTATCTGTGGTACCCATGAGCTATTGTTGCGTGTGGGAAGTGGGTGATTGAACAGTAAGATTCATGTGTTTTCTACTTCCCCAGAAGTCTTTGACAGAATGCCCATAATTTCCGCAAAGCTGAGTGTGCGTGTGACAGGTGCTGACAAGGCTGGAAAAGGCTGGAAAAGTAGGTGCCTCTTCGATTTCTGAGATCGGCCCTCGTGGTCTCTGGGGAGCCCAGCTTTTGAGAAAGCGAGCGCCTCTTCGATTTTCTGAGATCGGCCTTCGTGGTCTTTGAGCAGCCCAACTTTTGAGAAAGCAAACGCCTCTTCGATTTCTGAGATCAACCCTCGTGATCTCTAAGCAGCCCAGCTTTTGAGAAAGCAAACGCCTCTTCGATTTCTGAGCAGGCGCCTCTTCGATTTCTGAAGCTTCGTCGAGTGCAGATTTTTATAGGGGCTGGCATTAAGTTCCAAAGCAGCACACTTGAATCTCCACCAGTAGAAGCTTCATTCTTGCACTTCTAAGATCTTGATTTGTCCGACCTCTTCTCTCTTCAACACCTTTGAAAATGTCTGGCCCCTCCGACCGTCGTTTTGACTTGAACCTTGTTGAAGAGGCAGCCCCGCCTTCTCCAGACAACATATGGCGCCCATCCTTCGTCTCCCCTACTGGTCCTCTTACCGTTGGGGATTCCGTGATGAAGAATGATATGACCGCTGCGGTGGTGGCCAGGAACCTTCTCACTCCCAAAGATAACAGACTACTTTCCAAACGGTCTGATGAGTTAGCTGTTAAGGATTCGCTGGCTCTCAGTGTTCAGTGTGCAGGTTCTGTGTCTAATATGGCCCAACGCCTATTTGCTCGAACCCGCCAAGTTGAATCATTGGCGGCTGAAGTGATGAGTCTCAAACAGGAGATTAGAGGGCTCAAGCATGAGAATAAACAGTTGCACCGGCTCGCACATGACTATGCTACAAACATGAAGAGGAAGCTTGACCAGATGAAGGAAACTGATGGTCAGGTTTTACTTGATCATCAGAGATTTGTGGGTTTGTTCCAAAGGCATTTATTGCCTTCGTCTTCTGGGGCTGTACCGCGTAATGAAGCTCCAAATGATCAACCTCTGATGCCTCCTCCTTCTAGGGTTCTGTCCAGTACTGAGGCTCCAAATGATCCCCCTCCGGTGCCTTCTCTTTCTGGGGCTCTACCGACTGCTGAGACTTCTCCTAAGCAACCTTTGTGAAGGCTCCCTCTTGTGTGTTTATTTTGACTCATGTATATGTACATATTTGTAGCTTATCGGGGATATCAATCAATAAATAAGCTTTCCTTCATTTCAACGTATTGTGTTAAATACACCAAAGCCTTCTTCGCTAAGTTCTTTGAATTTTCTTTTGTTGAAGCTTGTATGTTGAAGCTTTCTGAGTGGAGCATGTAGGTTGGGGTAGTGTTCCCTTAATTTCCCGAGTGAGGAAAACTTCTCGGTTGGAGACTTGGAAAATCCAAGTCACTGAGTGGGATCGGCTATATGAATCTTAGAACGCCATTGTGCTCGATCCTGTGTCATGTCCTTCGTTAGATCCAAGTACTCTAAGTCTTTTCTTAGAGTCTCTTCCAAAGTTTTCCTAGGTCTTCCTCTACCCCTTCGGCCCTGAACCTCTGTCCCATAGTCGCATCTTCTAATCGGAGCGTCAGTAGGCCTTCTTTGCACATGTCCAAACCACCGTAACCGATTTTCTCTCATCTTTCCTTCAATTTCGGCTACTCCTACTTTACCCCGGATATCCTCATTCCTAATCTTATCCTTTCTCGTGTGCCCACACATCCAACGAAGCATCCTCATCTCCGCTACACCCATTTTGTGTACGTGTTGATGTTTCACCGCCCAACATTCTGTGCCATACAGCATCGCCGGCCTTATTGCCGTCCTATAAAATTTTCCCTTGAGCTTCAGTGGCATACGGCGGTCACACAACACGCCGGATGCACTCTTCCACTTCATCCATCCAGCTTGTATTCTATGGTTGAGATCTCCATCTAATTCTCCGTTCTTTTGCAAGATAGATCCTAGGTAACGAAAACGGTCGCTCTTTGGTATTTCTTGATCTCCGATCCTCACCCCTAACTCGTTTTGGCCTCCATTTGCACTGAACTTGCACTCCATATATTCTGTCTTTGATCGGCTTAGGCGAAGACCTTTAGATTCCAACACTTCTCTCCAAAGGTTAAGCTTTGCATTTACCCCTTCCTGAGTTTCATCTATCAACACTATATCGTCTGCGAAAAGCATACACCAAGGAATATCATCTTGAATATGTCCGTGTTAACTCATCCATTACCAACGCAAAAAGGTAAGGACTTAAGGATGAGCCTTGATGTAATCCTACAGTTATGGGAAAGCTTTCGGTTTGTCCTTCATGAGTTCTTCTTACGGCAGTCTTTGCTCCTTCATACATATCCTTTATAGCTTGGATATATGCTACTCGTACTCCTTTCTTCTCTAAAATCCTCCAAAGAATGTCTCTTGGGACCCTATCATACGCTTTTTCCAAATCTATAAAGACCATGTGTAAATCCTTTTTCCCATCTCTATATCTTTCCATCAATCTTCGTAAGAGATAGATTGCCTCCATGGTTGAGCGCCCTGGCATGAACCCGAATTGGTTGTCCGAAACCCGTGTCTCTTGCCTCAATCTATGCTCAATGACTCTCTCCCAGAGCTTCATTGTATGACTCATTAGCTTAATACCCCTATAGTTCATGCAATTTTGTACGTCGCCCTTATTCTTGTAGATAGGCACCAAAGTGCTCATTCGCCACTCATTTGGCATCTTCTTCGTTTTCAAAAATCCTATTGAAAAGGTCAGTGAGCCATGTTATACCTGTCTCTCCCAAAAGTTTCCACACTTCGATTGGTATATCGTCTGGGCCTATTGCTTTTTTATGCTTCATCTTCTTCAAAGCTACAACCACTTCTTCCTTCCGGATTCGACGATAAAAAGAGTAGTTTCTACACTCTTCTGAGTTACTCAACTCCCCTAAAGAAGCACTCATTTCATGTCCTTCATTGAAAAGATTATGAAAATAACCTCTCCATCTGTCTTTAACCGCGTTCTCTGTAGCAAGAACCTTTCCATCCTCATCCTTGATGCACCTCACTTGGTTTAGGTCCCTTGTCTTCTTTTCCCTTGCTCTAGATAGTTTATAGATATCCAACTCTCCTTCTTTGGTATCTAGTCGTTTATACATATCGTCGTAAGCCGCTAACTTAGCTTCTCTGACAGCTTTCTTCGCCTCTTGCTTCGCTTTTCTATACCTTTCACCATTTTCATCAGTCCTCTCCTTGTATAAGGCTTTACAACATTCCTTCTTAGCCTTCACCTTTGTTTGTACCTCCTCATTCCACCACCAAGATTCCTTTTGGTGTGGGGCAAAGCCCTTGGACTCTCCTAATACCTCTTTTGCTACTTTTCTGATACAACTAGCCATGGAATCCCACATTTGGCTAGCTTCCCCCTCTCTATCCCACACACATTGGGTGATTACCTTCTCTTTGAAAATGGCTTGTTTTTCTTCTTTTAGATTCCACCATCTAGTCCTTGGGCACTTCCAAGTCTTGTTCTTTTGTCTTACTCTTTTGATATGTACATCCATCACCAACAAGCGATGTTGATTAGCCACGCTCTCTCCTGGTATATAACTTTGCAATCCTTACAAGTTATACGATCCCCTTTCCTCATTAGAAGAAAATCTATTTGTGTTTTTGACGACCCACTCTTGTAGGTGATCACATGTTCTTCTCTCTTCTTAAAGAAGGTGTTGGCTAAGAAGAGATCATATGCCATTGCAAAATCCAAGATAGCTTCCCCATCCTCGTTTCTCTCCCCAAAACCATGGCCACCATGAAAACCTCCATAGTTGCCTGTCTCCCTGCCCACGTGTCCATTTAAATCTCCTCCTATAAATAACTTCTCCGTCTGAGCAATTCCTTGCACCAAGTCTCCAAGATCTTCCCAAAATTTCTCCATTCGAACTCGTATCCAACCCTACTTGAGGTGCGTACGCACTAATCACATTGATAAGTTCTTGTCCTATTACAATCTTGATTGCCATGATTCTATCTCCTACCCTCTTGACATCTACAACATCTTGTACCAAGGTCTTGTCCACGATGATGCCAACACCGTTTCTCGTTCTATTTGTGCCCGAATACCAAAGTTTAAACCCTGAGCTTTCTAGATCCTTTGCCTTACTACCAACCCACTTAGTTTCTTGTAGGCACATAATATTTATCCTTCTCCTCACCATAACTTCCACTACTTCCATAGATTTTCCCGTTAAGGTTCCTATATTCCACGTTCCTAAACGCATTTTGCTCTCTTGAACTCTACCCTTCTGTCCTAGCTTCTTCACCCTCCCCCGTCTAATAGGATCAAAGTACTTCTTTTGTGTGTCCCGGGTAAAGTTGATAGGAGCATATGCTCCCAAACAACTTTGAGTGGAGTCGTTCGAAAAGAAGTTTCTATGGCCCCCTTGCTCATTTAACACTGCATCCGGGTGCCGATGGAGATACAGCGACCCTTGCTCACTTATCACTGTGCTCAGGCCACACAGCGCGCCACTTACGGGTGACGCCCTAGCTTTAGCGCGATTTTGTTCTGGATTCATTTTCATAAGGATTCGACGTGATCATGGAGTGCCGGCTGTCGACTACCTGACGCCCTCCCCCTCCTCCTTTATCCGGGCTTGGGACCGGCCATGTAAGACATAGGCGGAGTTATTCAATGACATAGAAACCAAAAGGAATTTTCCGATCAGTGTGTTGCCAGAACAAGATGCATGGACTTTGTTTAAGGACATGGCAGGCAGATCCATTGAGTCTCCTGAGCTACGTCCTGTAGCGCAACAGGTTTTAAGAGAATGTGCTGGTTTGCCAATTGCAATTTCGACGGTGGGAAGAGCGCTAAGACATAAAAGCAAGAAGATGTGGGATGATGCACTCACACAACTAAGAAACGCTTGCCCAGAAAACATTCCGGGAATGATACATGAAGTTTACCGGAAAATAGAGCTAAGTTATGAATGTCTAGAAAGCGAGGAAGCCAAATCATGTTTTTTCCTGTGTTGTCTGTATCCAGAATGCAGCAATATACCGGTTGAAGATTTGGTTAGATATGGTTTCGGGCTTGGGTTGTTTAAAGGTATTGATTCACTGGTACAAGGAAGAAACCGTGTAGAAACGTTGGTTGACATACTCAAAAGTTGTTTTTTGTTGTTAGACAGTAACAAGGAAGGGTGTGTCAAAATGCATGATGTGGTGCGGGATGTAGCCTTATCAATAGCTACTGATGGTAAAGAAGGATTTGTGACCAGACACAAGGTGGAATTGAAGGATTGGCCTGGCAAATACTCTTCTAGTACACTCATTATAACCAATAAAACTCGTATGCATAACGAGCTTTTATTAGTTTCATGCACTGATAAATGTCCATTGGAACCACCTGCCACTATTCTGAGAACAAGTGAAGGCATCAAGGTTTTAGCCATCAGAAGCAGATTTCCACTGCCAATACTACCATCGATTCCACTGTTGAGAAACCTTCAAACGCTGCGTCTAGAGAATTGCAATCTCAGTGTGGAAGCTAGATCCGTAATTGGAGAGCTAAGGACACTCATGGTACTCAGCTTTTGTGGATCCAACTTCGATCAATTTCCTGATGAAATTAAAAACTTGTCAAATCTAAGGTTGCTAGATTTGACAGGATGCAGAGTTATGAAAATTCCAATGGGTGTCATATCGAGTTTAGCTCATCTAGAAGAACTGTACCTGTGGAATAGCTTCCAGCAATGGGAGGTTGAGGAACAAACCCAAGCACAACTAGATGAAGGGAACAGACATAAGGATCGAAATCAAGGTTCAAAAATCAGGGGCATCACTTGTCATTTTGCTCCAGAGCTAAGTTCCTTGTCCCAATTGACTACTTTAGAAATTGCTCTGAATCCACTTGTAAAGTCAACAGGGGTGCAGTTTGATCAGCTTGAAAGATTTAAGATCTCAATAGGATGGTGGAACAATAGTTGTTGGGATGTGAATCCCTGTGAGAACTACTTGAGACTTAGCTATGCAGCAGAATCTCCTGCGGAGAGTAGAATAACTATATTGCTAGAGAAAACTAACGTTCTAGAGTTAGACATGAAGTATATGAGCAGAACTCTTAATGACCTGAGAAGAAGCTGTTGTTTAAACTTGAAATCTCTAAAGCTCTGCCAATCTGAAGATCTGCAACATGTCTTTGACATAGGATACGTAAGCGTTTTCCCTGTCCTGCATACTCTGAAGATCAATGAACTAAAGGAGCTCAAGGCGGTTTTTCATGGCGAGCTTCCAATGGGGTCATTTAACGGACTTAGAGAGTTATCTTTATCATCTCTACCTAAATTAACACATTTATGGAAGATACCAAGTCAATTTGGTCAGTGTCTAGGAAATCTGAGATGTGTTAAGGTGAGTAGATGTTACCTTCTAAAATATCTCTTCTTATTATCAGTAGATAGCCATCTGAAGCAACTCGAAGAGCTAGACATACAGAATTGCAACTATTTGGAAGAGATTGTTGCCTTAAAAGATCAGACCTCAAAACAGATTGTTGCCTCTGAAGGATCGGAAAATGAGGAAGAAGTCAACGAGATCAATCACCCCAATTTGCTACGCTTGAATCTTGAAAGACTACCAGGGTTCGTTGGGATCAGCAAAACAACATGTCAGATCAACTTTCCTGGATTGATCACGTTGAAGTTGGAATACCTACCAAAAATCATGAGTCTTTCCCCAGATAGTTTGGCTCCAGAAAGTAGCATTGCTTATGCCACAAAACAACATTTATTTGACACCAAGGTATTTTCCCTTTCCTTAAGATTGTAATATGTTACCCCAGCTGCTAAACTCTGTGTCAAAACTTGTAAAAAAATCAGGATAGCTCAGCTGACAATCTCTTTAATTCAACAGGTTAGTCCCTTTTGGCAGCTGCGATTTGTGACGGTGAAGGAATGTGCTAAGCTAACTGGTATTTTCTCGTTCAGTTGGGTGCAGGACTTACAAAGTCTGGAACAACTTGAAGTAAGGGAATGTAGGTCACTGGAAACAGTTTTCGACTTTGAAGATCTAGAAATGAAACAGAATCCAAAGCAATTTCCTGCACTGTTCTCTGACTTGGAAATAATGGAGTTGAGTAAGCTACCCTTGTTGAAATACTTGTGGAATCCACCTCAAAACATCATGGCGTTTCAAAATTTAAGAATGCTCCAAGTTATGCAGTGTGGAAATTTGAGATATGTGTTCCCACGGTTCGTTGCTGAAAATCTCGTGAAACTAGAATCTATGTATATAAGTGATTGTGCTGCGATGCGAGACATTCTTGCCGAAAATGAACGAGGCCATGGAGATGAAGAGGCAACAAAGATAATTGTTTTCCCTCAAGTAAAATCTCTCCATCTTGATAATTTACCCTCCCTCAGAACATTTTGCCGTGCTCCATGCGCTATTCACTGGCCATCATTGACAACTTTGGTGATTGGCTGCCTTACCATGGAGACGTTTGTTCCATCATCTGAAGCCATGGGATCAATTTATGGTGTTCCAAACCATATTTTTAATGAAGAGGTTTGCACATCACTCTAAATCTATGCTGGCAAGTTTTAACTTTTCATCATTGTTGGTACTAACAAAGTTCAATGCATTTTCAGGTTGGTTTTCCAGTTCTGGAGACGCTAGAAATTCGTGATATGCAAAATATCAGAGAGTTATGGAGCAGGGAGCTTCTACCCTACTCTTTCAATGAACTCCGAGACCTGCATGTGTCCGGTTGTAGCAACTTAGTTCTTCTGGTAGCAGTTGAGGTGCAGAATAGATTGCATAAACTAGACAAGTTAATTGTGAAGGGTTGCAATTCCCTGGAAGAGATTTTTGAGTCCACAGGGTCAAATGCCAATGAAGAACCCACTGCAACACTTCCTCAGTCGGGCGAAATATCTTCAATTTCCCAACCTCAAATGACGCAAATCAGGGGTTCCAATCGAATTCAAGGCTTTCAGTTAACATCATTACACATTTCGGATTGTGTCAGTTTGGAGCTTCTACTCTCTCCTTCCATTGCTAGGGGTATGGTGAAGCTCAAAGGTCTATCCATAATTGAGTGCAAGAAGATGGAAGTGGTAGTTGCAAAACCGCTAGCGGATGAAGAATCAGAGGATAACAGCTTGCTCCCTCAGCTAAGTTATTTGGAACTTCGCGCTCTACCAAATCTCATAATTTTTTCTCAAGGCAAATGTAATTTAGATTGGCCATCACTGGAAGAGTTAACCGTTGAAGAATGCCCTCGAATGGAGAATTTATGTTTAGGTTCCCTTAGCACACCAAGGGAAGTGAAGTTAAGTATCAGCGGGGCAAGTGAAAATCTTCAGAAGGAGCTGAACGACAGTCGGAAAGAAACTTAATCTTCATAAGTATTTTGCGTTTCCATTGTCCAGTAAACAACTTCGAAGTTATATGTTGAGTTTTGCCTTCTAAGGAGGTTTACCATCCTTAGAAGGGATATGATCACACATGCAAATATGGATTTCTGAAGCTATCGAACTTATGAGATTTGGTACATCTGGTCACACATTTAGAGTTTTTTTACCTTATAATTCTTATAAGTTCTTTTGGTATATGTATTTTGGGAAATCCATACATATATAGCCGACAATTTTCTAGGATATTAAGCTACAAACCACTAGCTATAGAAAAATAAATATTAAGATGATAAGGTTTGTGCTAACGGCATTTTGCACCTTTTGATTTTATAATGGTTTTCAAATAGGTCGCATGATTTTAATTTTATTATTTTACATCGAGATTTCAGAATTGCATCAATTTATATCTTTGGTTTGGTCAGTCGTCTCTTCAACCTTAAGGTTTTAAAATTGTTTCAATTTATACCTATCGTTTTGTTAAACGTTAATGGCTGGCGTGAAAAGTACGGGACATATGAAGGGCATTTTCATAATACAAAAAAAATGACGCATATATTAGTTAAGTCAAATTTTTCTGTCATCTTATTTTTTGGCCTCCAGGTCATTTCAAACCCTAGACGAGATTCTAGCCTAATTACTAGTTAATTCTTTCCTTTGGGTTTGGAATATTTTTTTTTAATTTTTTTTATTTTTGCTGCTATTTTTGACTGCTTCTAAAATGTTTGCTGCGGCTAATTACTTTTCAAATTAATGTTTGTTTAGACTTGACCATTCACAGTTTCCTATTCCTTTTGCTGACAAGCTAAGTTGATTTTTGTGAGTAAAGTCTGCTTCAAGACCATGCATTTCTCTATTCACAGTTTCCGATTCCTCTTGTTCTTTATTAGCTGCTTATTTTCATTCATTGTTTCTGTCATTCTATGATCAAATCTGTTATGGCTCGTGACGGGGCTAGCTCCTCGAGAAGATCCAACTTTACTGAACCCCCACCCATGAAGCTTTCGGAGCGCTTGGAATACAAACTACCATGTACAAGGGAGATCTTGGGGGCTCTGCAGGTTGAAAATATCAACTTGATTAGCATTAATTGTGGGGAAATCAAAACAGGAGATACAGTAACGACGAAAGAGTTCATGGAGAGAGTCAAGCAGCAAGGTCTATTTGAAGAAGTTGTCATGACTGTTGTATCCCTTGATCCCAACTTGAGACGAATACAAGATGAGATTGCAGATAATCTACAAGTGAAGTTGGGAAATGGGAATTTGTTTGAACGGGCAAAGGTGCTGCGTGCTCGAATGTCCAAAGACTCTAGGAGGTTGCTTGTAGTATTTCTTGATGTCCGGGAAATGATTGATCTTGAGGCCATCGGAATCCCTTATGGGTCACCCAACGGAAAGTGTAAGATAATCTTTATGTTGGGACTCCTGAATGAATTTAGTGTTAGCATGAGAGCTCAAAGTAGTTTCCATCTGTCCGGCAACAAGAAGAGTTTGCCTATTGGTATTTTGCCAGAGCAAGAAGCTTGGAGTTTGCTTAGAGAGATGGCAGGCAATTCCATTGAATCTCCTGAGCTACGTCCGGTAGCACAACAGGTTCTGAGTGAATGTGCCGGTTTACCAATTGCAATTGCAACTGTTGGAAGGGCACTGCAGCATAAAAGCAAGCAAACGTGGGAGGATGCACTGAGACAACTAAGAAAGCCTTGCCCCGAAAATATTCCAGGGATGGTACAAGAAGCGTATCGGAAAATAGAGTTGAGCTACGAATGTTTAGGGAGCGAGGAAGCGAAATCATTGTTTCTGTTCTGCTGCATATATCCGGAAAGCAGTGATATACTGGTTCATGATTTAGTGAAATTTGGGGTTGGACTTCAGCTGTTTAAAGACATCGATTCCAAGAGGGAAGCAGGAAAGTGTGTAGAAACATTGATTGAGATACTCAAGAGTAGTTTTTTGTTGTTAGAGAGTGACAAGGAAGGATGCGTAAAAATGCATGATATAGTGCACAAGGTAGGCTTATCAATAGTAGCTTCAAAGGGATGGTATTGAAGAGTTGGCCTTTAAAATAAGGATTTGGGGGAACACACGCAATTTAATTTTTTTGGGGGCTGGATCAAGTGTAACTTTGACGGGGCATGGGAGGAGCGGTCGAGGAAAGGAGGAGGTGCAGTAGCACATGCCACAAATTTGAAGGGCCCCCAAAATTTTTACCATATAATATTATGTAATAATGTTCTATATTTAAAATATTATTTTTGTCAGCACTTTAAAATCTCATTGTGCACTCTTTATAAGAGTAATTTTTTTCCCTTCTAAATATAAAAATTTGGAGTATAATGAGATATTTTTAGTGTTAATAATAACACTCTAAAAACGATATTTTTTTTTCAATTTTATTATATAATAATATGTTATATTCAAGTGAAACTTTAAAATTAGAGTTTTGAAGTTTTTTTTCATGTTTGGTTGTTTAAGATTGAACTTCTTTTGCTTATTTAGTGAATGTTATGTTCGTAACTCTTTTTTACTTATAATTAATGATATTTATAAACTTGCAATAAGTGAGTGGTAAAGTTTGTTTTGATTTAACTGATTGTTTTTTAGCATCAATATATTGTTCTACTTTTTAAAAATATTTTAAGGAATGGTCATTTTATAAATTTTGCACAGGACCCCTAAAATGTCAGAGACTGTCCTGGGTAGTTAGGGAACTCTTTTGCGGCTGGAGTCTCTGAACCGCTTGAAAACGTTGCATCGCCGCTGCAAGCTGAGCTTCTAGCGGCAAGGAAGGCAGTAGTTTTTGTCCAGGAACTCTACCCAAGTGAAGTCGATGTTATTTTCGAAGGAGATTCGAGCATCACGCTTGCTGCTGTGCAGCGGTGTGAGGAAGATTGTTCATTGTTGGGACCTATCATTAATGATGTGTGTACTTTCCTCCTTGCTTTCACTCAGCCAAAGTCGAACTTGTTAGGCCATCTCTAACCGAAGGGTCCAAAGAGTCAGAGGGCCGAAAATAGCCCTAAAACCGTCTCCAACCGAGGGCTTGGCCAGAGGGCTCTGGAATCTGGGAGGGCCCCACGGGATCAGAGAGGGCTGGAGGGCTGGCTGCTTTGGCCAGCCAGCCAGCCTCGAGCTGGCTATTTTTTTTTTTAATGTTTTGTTATTCCTGTCGGTTATAACCGACAGGAATACATACTATTATTTAATATACTAAACTAGCCTCTCCGCACGCACTAACGTGCGTGCGAGAGGCATTTTTGCATCACGGGCGCTACGCGCCCCTAAAGGTGTATTGTGTTAGTCTTTTTCATTGTGATTGTCAAGATATATTTTAGATGTATTGAGCAAAGAGGAACTTTATCTTTATCATGCACGTCTTAAAAAATTGTCATATTTTTTGTTTTCACTTTGCCTACAGTAATGATTTAAATGTTATTCATGCAATTGTCAAACAACATCATCTGGAAGCAAGTTCCTACCTTGTGTTCATAAACAATAGTAAGTAGATGTGAATAAAAAAAAAGTAGATGAAAACATTAAGTACTCGTAGCAAAATACAAAACAACTTAAATGTCAAAATATAAAACCGACATCACAATATGTACATTTTTCACAATACCCATAAAGTCTATATGTCATTGTTTCTTTTGAAAAGAAAATTGACATCAATGCTGCAATTTCCATCCATTTGTTCCTGATTGACACTTCAAATTTTCATTGCCAATCTACAAACAATAGTGAGAAAATTAAAAATCAAATAAAAAGAGTTAAAAGATAAGTGAGAAATGCATATTGAAAGATTATCGTTAATAAAGTTGTTACCTATTAGGAATCACCATAATTAGCTGGAATGAAGCAAGACTTCTTTGTATACTACATTCCGTGTAAATACACCTTGTTGGCCGACTATGAAGCCATTTTTTACTAACACAGTTGTGGTTGACTTTGAGACCCCCCTCGATAAAGCCACATATAATTGTCCATGACTGAAGACGTGATCTGGAAGGTAAACGCCTACATGTGGTATTGTCTGACCTTGAGATTTGTTTATAGTGATAGAGAAACTTAGTTTCACTGGAAACTGCTTTCTTGTAAGTTCAAATGGAAGCCCAGCAGTATCAGTACTTTTAAGAGGGATTCTTGGTAAAAAAACTCTGGATCCGGCAAATTGTCCAGTTAGAATTTCAGCATCAATAAGATTTCGGTAAGAACCACGACACAATAATCTTGTACCATTACACAATCCCAATTTTGGATCAATATTCCTTAAAAGCATGATTGGAGCACCTCTTTTTAGAGTTAACTTGTGCAGAGGCAAACCACCAAGTGAGATTGAATTCAAGAACTCTGGCTGATACAAATTCCTTTCATCATCCTCAACTGAATCAAATGAATACATTGTCTCTTCTAAACCTGGAAACATATTGATTATCTTTTCATTTAACATATCAACGTCTTCATTTGTAGGAGTTACCACTGCCCTTTCCACCATGTAGGTTGCATCATTCATATGATCCTCTAAGTTAGGGAAGATTTTGGCAATTAATTGATTAATGGAATGCTCACTCTCCCATGGTATCACCATGCATTCAGGTAGTTTTACCATATCATCCATAATAACATCTTCATTCCCATCACCAACACGAAGTAAAAATTCTGAAAATTCACGATCATTTATGGATCTCATGTTTTGTTTGAGTTTTAAAATGTTTACCTCTGACCAAAATGATGCCTTAACAACACTTGCTTGGATTAGTTCGGACTTGGTTCCTTTCCGGATAACAGGAAGAACTTGTCAAAAATCTCCCCCAAATATCATTATTTTTCCCCCAAATGGTAAGTCAATATCCGTTAGGTCTCTGAATGTTCGATCGAGTGCTTCAAATGCATGACGATGCGTCATTGTTGCTTCATCCCAGATAATTGCCTTTGCCTTTTGTATTAGCTTTGCTAAATCGGATTGCTTACCAATCGAACACATCGATGATGCATCGAGACTAAGTGGTATCTTGAATTTAGAATGTGCTGTCCTCCCACCAGGAAATATCGTAGCTGCTATTCCAGATGATGCTGTTGCTAATACTATGTGGCCCAACCTTCTCAAGCTTACTAACAATGCGCGATATAAGTAAGTTTTTCCAGTTCCACCGGGACCATCCACAAAAAAAGTTGCATTCTCTGATCGTTGAACTGCACCCATTATTATGTTAAACGCATTTCTTTGGTCATCATTTAAGCGTTCAATTGCATCAAGATCTTGTTGTGGAATACCTATGGATATCTCATCTTCAATACATCTTGTCATTCCTGAACTTGATTCATTTCCTCTTGTCATTTGGGGGAAATCAAACTCGTTTATACTCTTATTAAATTGAACCAAAAGTATGTTCAACTCACGCAAGAGTCTGTTGGTAGCAAGTGTGGGAGTCATGTTAGTCATGGTAACATAATCTTCTATCATGAATGGATAGAACTCATCCCATAACCCTCGAACACCAATTGGTGCACAATATACCAATATGGTGACGAATAATCTTCGTAAAGCCGATGACATTTGAATTGTGGAGGCCTCTAGCAAACATTGTCGAATACTGTCATCTCTTTCTAATAAACCTCGTTGTTCTGCTGCCTGTTTAAATGTTGGATGCAAAACCCCATTAATCGTTCTCAAGTTTGTGAAGGATGTTGGTCCTCTAACATGATTAAGAAGAATTCGAAGGTAAAATTTTTCACCTTCAGCAGGTGAAACTGCATATATTCGCCCAATAACCTTGTTACGATTCATTCTTTTAGACCACTTTCTTTGAGCTTGAATCCATCTGTAATGTGATGGGATTTCCATGTATAAGTATCGTCGCGCTTCTGCATCCACATGATTAAGTGTAAAAAATTCAGTTAACATTGTCTTTCTTGTACTCTCATCATGTAGAATATTTATTATGCTCTCGTCGGCACGAAACTGAACTTGGTGCATATTAGGAAGATGTATTTGCAATCGCTCAACAGATGGGTAAATTCGATTAATAATGAACTTGAATATCTTCCATAATGCCTCTGGTGCGCAAACCCATCTTGCATCCTGAAACTGCTTTATTTCATCGTATTCAAGGTCTGATTGCACTTCGACTGTCACTCTATCTGGGCCTTTGTAAACATACTTATATAAGTACTTGACACTTTTTATGCTTGCACAAATTTCAACATTGATGTGACAATCATACCTTAACAGCAACCATGGATTATATGGAATGACCCAACTATTATCAACCATTATGTTTCCTTGTCGATCAAGAGAAACGGGCAATCGATTTCCTCGCCTTTGATAAATTGGATACGAATCATTTCCTTGAACAGTGACTGGTGCAAATGGTTTGGGATACTTTCTCTTACAGCTCCCATTTTTCATACATGGAGATTGAGGATTATGAATCCCGCATGGGCCATGAATCATATGCTTTAACATTACATTGTAAAGTTGAGGCTCTACGTCTTTGTTTGGTATTTCAGCTCTAACAATTCGGTCATACTCATCTGGGTTATTGATCTTATCATTTTCATCTAACACCACCAGCATATGCACATGTGGAAGACCACGTTTCTGAAACTCAATAACGTATGCGTACGCAACAACACTGCCCAGTACCCCCTTTTCAATGATGTCTTCTTTTAGTTGCTCAAGTTTTGCACGAAATACTCTAGTGAGTAAGTCAGGACGATCTTGTGGAGTTTGTCCAGCGAGTAATTCACTTTTGATTTCTTCCCAACTTGGGTTACATGTCATGGTAATAAAAAGATCTGGCTTTCCGAATCTTTGAACCAGAGTCATTGCATCTTGATATCGTTGGTACATGTCACGTGGGCTTCCAACAAATGATGATGGTAAAATAATTCTACGCCCAATGCTACCTGTTAATTTTTTATTTTCAACTAACTATATATATTGTACAGATTTTGAACAAAGTTATATTTTTAAATAACGATAACTGAAATGATATATATACCTGCATTGTGTTGACCTGCATTTAAATAGTCTTGAAGTCCTTTATAGAGATCTGCTCTAACTGTGGCTTGATTAGAACGCAGCCATCGAAGTTTTTGTGATTCAATTTTAATGTAGTTATCTACAGCATATTGTTGCAAGAGACGCCCACCTCGAAGCAAAAGTGATGATCCATTATGGCGTATCTGCAGAAGCAAATTTCATATATTGCTTTTAATATGGGAATCATCATTCATTTATATATATTGGGAAGTAAATTATGTTATTGGTACAAAACCTGTAACATATAAGCATAATAGTCGCAACATGTTATTGCTCTTCCACCATCATCACGACTATTAACATCCCAACCATATGTACCGTAAGGTAGCAATAGTGGATACTGTAACGGATCATAAAATCCGACATAGTCTCGGACGTGAGAAAGTCTTCCACTAATTGTCTCGACCACGATATCCCTTCCATTTGCAATGGTGGCATCATCTCCATCTATTATAATTGCTGCAACTTGTGATGCTGATGGTAGACTATACTGACGCCGATCTATTGGTTGCTCTTTTAGGATCAACTTGCAATTCGGCAAATCTTGGCGTTGTCCGAGGCTTCGCAATGTATGAATGAAAAAAAGGATTATGGTTGTTCAACATCTGTTGTATCTTTTCAACCACACGTCTATCTAAAACTTCACTTTCACACATTCGGTTTTCAACTTCATGCTCAGTGTCATATATATAGGCTTGTAAAAATCGCGGTCTGTTTCCTTCATGTGGTAAAAGTCCACCAATCTTATGATATAATGCACCTTGAGCATGAAATGTGTAAATCTCACGGCCACTAATATTTATTCTTTCATCCACGTGTACTCCCATTGAAGTGAATGCAAATGCGTGATTGTAAGCTCGAATATTTTGCCTGAAGTGTCTACCCTCATTTGTTTGGTCAGAGAAAAGAGCAACCATTTCTGGTGGAGATTGTATTGGGGGTAAAGCAACTCTTCCTTTTAAGCAACACATATTCAAAGTTTCTCGAGTAAACAATTGTGCGTAGCAGTACGGACATGTGGTTGGAGCAGGTAAGCGGCAACCTAGGATACCTCGATTCTCATTATAATTTCTAGCACAATTGTGGTTTCTTCTTCCTCTACTTTGCCGCACATGACGATTGGTTCTAGTTGCATGTTCTTCTTCTGATATTTGTACATGAATATCCAACACTCAGTATAAGAATTTCCTTTGTAACTAATAATATATCTTCTATATATAGATAGAATTATATACTAAGCTCACCATTATGGGGAAGAGTTGAGAGCATCCCATCATATATTTGTGACCTATTCGAATGTGTCAATGATCCTATATGAGTACGCATTGTAGCAAAAGTTTGGTCATCACGATTTGTGATATCTGACAGAACCCTTGAACTCGCGCTTTCATGCTCAATTTGTTCTAATAAATACACCACATTATAATATGATTAGGTAAAAATTTAATGTTTAATATTTAATATATTTAGTTGTGGTCTAATATTTTGTAAGACTACCAATAAAAATAACTACAACATTGAGATCAATATGAGAGTACGAACAAAAGAATAAAATGAGATTTCAATGCACAAAATAGTGTTCTAAAAATTACCTAATTTTTAAAGTGTGAAACAAATACAAATAAAGAAATTTAAATAAATACCTGGAATTTGTTGTTGTATATTACTGGGGTTGACCTCAACATCATAGTTAGCCAAATGAACTCGTTCTTGTATATTACTGGGACCTACTTGTTGCATAGTTTAAAAAAAATAGAAATTAGATTTTTAAAATTTTTTTAATTATGAGTTTAAGAAAAAAGAATATGAAATAAATACCAGGAATTTCTTGCTGTATGTTACTGGGAGATGTCGTAGTATGATCATCACTTGGAGTTGGAATTTGTTGTCTTTTTTCTTGTGCTATTAGACGTCGTCGAGCTAGATATCTTTGATGTTCTTCAGGACTCAATGATTGACGCCACTGTCTTGTACGACTTTGAGCACACTCCATGGAAAAATTTATCTAAAAAATTAATAAACATAATGAACCTAAATAGAATACAAATTTTGTGACATTCCACAAATACGAAAAGGTGTATACAGATGCCTACGAACAGATGAAAACAAAAGCTTTATGTACACAACACTATAATACAAAAGAACAAAATAAAATAATCACAAAATATTTTTGAAGTGTAATAAGTATCAATGCAAGAAAATGACGGGCCTTTATACACTTGTTGGTTGGTGTTAGGCCTTGGATATAATTTAGCCTTAAGGGTTTTTTTTTTTAAAAAAAAATATTATAAATTAGCGTAGTTTATATCGTTTTAATTTTTATGTCAACTGGATGAGTAGAATTTAAACTTTTTGTAATAACCCTAAACCCTATCATATCATTGTTTAATGTCAACATTCCCTATTGCACCAGAGATGTGTTTCTTGTCGAGTTAGCTTAATGTGAATGCCTCTAATTTATATATGGACATGATATAATTGTCAAGTATTTAAAAGTCAAGCATTTGGTTGGAACATATTTCATTTAATATTTTTTAGGATTATAAGGGAGTGGGAATAGATGAAATATCGGATAGAGTTCAATAATGGGTAGCTTTTTGACCATCGATTTCGACTGCGAAGGCAAAATGTAAATTTATATTCATTTAGAAATGTGAAGGTGTAAATTGAACAAAATAACAATCAAATTTATATGCTAACATGATTAGGTACGTTTTCACATTGAATTAGGTTTCAACATTAGAAGTTCTTTTCTCAAGTCTCAACATTCAGCAAAATGAAGAAAACAAAAGGCCAAAAGCAAAAAGCCACCTCTTCCACTGTTATCACCCTTCCTTTTCTTCAAGGCTCACTGCCAACATAAAAGCTATGACAATAATACAGTTTCCCCCCTTCCTTTTTGTTCGTGCCTCGACAAATGGGTCTGCAACCAATGAGTGTGTAAAAGCATCAAAGGTTTTGTTGGTAACATGAATTGTATGTGTTTTCAAAAACTCAGATTTACGAAATTTGAAAGAGAACAAAATGTTAAAACATAAATTAGTAAAAGAAAAACATATATGAAAGAAAACAGGTAATCATGGAGTTGAGGATTCTATTGTGTAAATCATGAACACATTGTACGCAGTGAGGCAGTGAAAAAGGACTACCTTGGTTCTTAGATGTTTAAGCTAAAAATAAATTTGTAAGCTTATAAGCAAGCAAGACATCGATATTTCAAAATCCCATGACTTTCGGCAAGTACTTACTAAATCTTAAGTCCATATAACAACTCAAAACATTTTGTATTGCACTAAAGAGAAAAAGCTAGCAATCATACCTCAGCTAACCGAGCAGCAATGACTTCAATTGACACAAAGGTCCGAATCTAATCAATGTTAACAAAAAATTACACTTGCCAAAATCAATCCAATACCTGTTGCACAATCACAAAATGTGTTAAAACCCGAAAATGGGCGAAAAAGCAAAGAAGAAGCATTGAAGAGATTTAAGGCATTTAAATAATTGGATGAAGTGGACAAAGATCAGTAAAAAGTTGGGGAGAGAAGTTATAATCTCTACAGTGGTTGCTTGGTAATAAATAATGACACTACAAATTGACATAGTAAAATTATAAAACCATCAGAAAATTGGAATTAAGCCAATAAGTTTTTTTTTTTTTTTTTTTTTATAATCTTAGATGGTAAAATGAAAATGCACCAAACCAATATATACCTTTCTGATCCCCACGGTCACTGAAACCATCTTATCACTTCTTCATTTGCCAATACAGTACCAAAAGCGGGCACCAATTAACTGGCACTTCAGCCTGAATGTAACAAAGTAGAGTATTAGATCTGTGCACTGGTGGAAATGATAGAAACTACCACCGCCAATATCTTATGCATACCTGATACGCCAATCCCCTCTTTAATCGCTGAAGGAAGATCCATTGGGTCCATCTATAATATTCATGATCCCAGTCGTATGAGAATCGTAATGACTTAAGCAAGCAAAATACAAAATGTCAATATATAAGGAACAAAGAATACAATTTAAAAACTGAAAATGGACAAAAAAGCAAAGAAGAAGCATTCAAGAGATTAAGGCATTTAAATAAGTAGGACGAAGTGGACATAGATCAGTAAAAAGTTGGGGAGGGAAGTGATAATCTCTGCAATAAGGCAGTAAAAAATGAGTCCAACTAATTCAATCTATTCCCTTTTGTCTACTGGCTATTGTGCCACACAATCCCATTGTTGAAATTTTCCAATTTCATATTTCCAGTATATGTGTCAATCCCATTTAAATAATTACACTTGAAAGACAATTCAATGAGAAAAAAAAATAGGAAAGTAATTTGAAACTCTTCAATGGAAAAGGAGAAGGCGCGGAGAATTACCGTTTCGTTCCGTTTACGGTTTCAGAGAGTAAGGGAGGTCTTCTTCGCAACAACTTTATTTACATCACTATAAATCGCATAAACCCTACAAACTTCCATTACATGTCAAAAAAAAAATTCCGTGAAAATTGAAAGGAAAACTGATGATTCAAATGGAAGAAAGACAAAAGCCCAATCACATACTCAAAAGGAACACGACATATAGCTGTAAACGTACATTTGTCGACCTTCTCTTTGAGCTTTAGGAACTGGAATTGCATTTACTATAAAGCCGAACTAAAATGAAAACCAAATGAGGGGAATCACTTAAACTCACAAATAGATTACAACAACCTTAATTCACTCGACTTACACATTCAAACTATCGAAACTAATTCCCGGAAACGGAACGGAACTAAGTACATTATCGATTTCTGGCATTTCTACTACAAAATTACCAAAACATAAACAAATTGAGCTTTATATAATAACTTATCATAAAGGGTGAACATACTGCAACCTGATCAAACAGAATGATCGGTACAACTCGGGATTGAAGAATCTTTGATTACTTTGAAAACTTGGTGAAGTTACTCCTCCAGAACCCCATGAAGAAAAATGACAGGCTGCAGGATAAGATTCAAAATGTATTAAATAAAACACCAATAAAGATGTCCTCTGCCCAACTTTTCTGAATGAGATTCCTAAAACATGCAGAATATTTAAATTCCTTTATTTTACGTAGGCGATCTATATTTATAATTAAACTCAATTTGGCTCAAAGCTCCTCAATTTCTTTCTTTTGACGCTTGAGAATAGCAAAATCTGTTAGAATCTGCCAGGAATGACATACTTTGAAATAATAACAGTTAAAACATATGATAGAAATAAGAGAACAATTTCTTTGTCCAACATATACAAAATTGGGAGAATATGAAGAATTAATCCAAAAAAGATTGCAAACGAAGCCAAGAGAGAAATTTAAAGTACATCAGAGAAAGCAAATAAGCTTGCTTGCAATCAATTAAAATTGCATGGCATGTATAATTTGACATATGTTCAATGTCAGATCAAGACAAACAAACCTGTTCAAAGAACAGGGGCGAATTATTAAGGTACCTTAATGGGTCAGCAACCAATCAGTCTGTACAACCATAGAAAGCCATGAAATTTTTTGTTAGTAACATGAATTGATGTTTTAAAAACTGTAATCGGATTTACGAAAAATGGAAGACAACAAAAAAAAGAACATGTGAATGACTAAAAACAGTAATCAAAATTATTCATTACTTGAGCAAAATTAATCAGAATTTCAAAACACCAATTTTGTTTTATATCTTCTTGTTGCTTCTGGTGACATGGGAACGAAAGGAGGATGGTGGTATGTTGTTGCCGCAGTGAATCAGGAAGTCAAAGCTCTTTGCCCGAAATTTTCTTCATCCTCTGCCCCTCCCCTCCATCAAGGTTAGTAGGTCAGAAGTGGATTTGAAATGTGGAATCAATCCAAGAACCTAAACTGCAGCCGAAATCATATCCTTTAAAAACAAAGAGATTGAACATTTCCTAAAAACCCAATTGGATGAACAAATAACTTTTATCGAATTTACAAAAGTTGAAGAGAACGAAAACTGAAAACATGAATCACTAACCCGATGAAAGTTTTCGATTTTTGCACATATAATTGTTCCGAAAGCTCAAATCTTTTACTAATTTCTGTCACTGAGTTTGTCGATCCTTTTTCGTTTAGAATGAACTGAAACCACACAGCGAACTCCTGAAAACCAAAATTAGCCTCCTTCCGATTACTCATCTCTAAATATTGGTGGTATGCAGGTGGTTAGTGTTGAACCTTCCCACCAAACTCAGATCGTGGAAATCTTTGGGGGAGAAAACTGCCCACTACTGCTTAGCAGTTTGAGAGGCTCCGAGACTACATGCTTGTTTTTCTTCTTTTTTTCAATTTTCTGTTTTCTTTTCCAATACTTTTTAGATTTTGTTTTCTACCCAATTATGGTGTTTTTACGAATTTGTCCTCATTTTCAAAACTTTTGTGGTTTTTAATTGTGAAGGAAGCAAAGGGCAATATTGGATTTATTGAATGTTTCACCAAACTGGGGCTCTCACTTTATATATATAGATAATGGTGTATTCCTGTCCGTTATAACCGACAGGATTGTTTTAAAAAAAATTCAAATGAAACGGCTACTAGCCGTTGCATTTGATTTGATTTTTTTTTTTACATTATTATTATTCTTTTTTATTTACAAAATTTTTCATATAACTTCTATTTTTTCCTATAACTTCTATTTCACAAAATTTGGTTTTTTTTTTAAATTCCATTTTTTTCCTATAACTTCTATTTCACAACTTCTATTTCACAAAATTTGTTTCATATATATTTTTTCCTATAACTTCTATTTCACAAAATTTACTTCATATTGTTTTTTAAATTCCATTTTTTTTCCTATAACTTCTATTTCACAAAATTTGTTTCATATTTTTTTTTAAATTCCATTTTTTTTCCTATAACTTCTATTTGACAAAATTTGTTTCATATTTTTTTTAAATTCTATTTTTTTCCTATAACTTCCTAAGCCATTATACAACATTAAATTAAATTAAGTAACATGAAACTAAATTAAATTAAGTAACATGAAACAACATTAAACAATATGAAACAACATTAAATAAAATTAACCAACATAAAAATTATACAACATGAAACTTAAACAACATTTTAGTTGTAGTTTTTAAATAATAAATTAGGTTTGGCCCTATGGCCCTTTGGCCCTTGGTTGGAGATGGTTTTTTGTGATAGGGCTAAAACGAGCCTTCTGGCCCTCTGGCCCTCGGTTGGAAACAGAGGCAAATATGGCCCTGTACTGTTCATTAAAATATTAATATCTTGGAGAATCTTGGAGGGCCAGAGGGCTAAAACGAGCCCTCTGGCCAACCCCCGGTTAGAGATGGCCTTAGAGGCTAATAATGCAGCTCATATGCGCTTACTCGGACCGAAATTGGAATACAATATGAAGTGTCATGGTTCGAGGAACCGCCGGCCGGACATCATCATTGACATCTTACTAGAGGATATTTCTAGTTAATGTGGCTGTTTTATAATTATATTTCCTTGAGGATAGGTTCACTTATGTTGTTTGTGCATGACGCTCTTTTTTTCTTGAATCGGGTTGAAATTTCTAACAAATTTTTTAATAAGGCCAATTATGCACGCTATTTCCCTTAATCAATGAATATTGTACCATTTCAAAAAAAAAGAAAAAAGAAAAAAAAAGAAACACATATACATTCAAAACCAGTGATCACCTTAGTAATCTATTGGTTAAAGATATTTTTAGTAGGTTAAATTGACTTGCAAGGAGCTTATAGCTCATGTGCTTAAAATGTATTTATTCATATATACTCAATGTTTATGTTCAAATATCGTGGATGAAAAATTTGATATCAATTTATTTCTTCACTCATTGTAAAAATCATTGCATCAATATGTACAAGAATGCTCAAGTGCTAACTATTTAGTATTTTAATACGAAACTAACCACTCATTTAGACTCGCTAAACAATATTTCTTAAAATTTGAGCCAATCATTTTCTAGATTATTATTAAAAGATCATATTTGCAAAAATTCATTGAAAACATAAGTTATTTAGTTATCTAATTGTGACATGACAAATAGACGGTGACAAAGTTGTTGATAAACAATGAAATGTTTACCATAATAATTGAATGGCAAAATGATTTGTGATTCGAATGAAATTTTGCATGAATAATGTAGTTATAATAACCTAAAATTTGAACTGTTTAGATCATAAAATTTGTTGTGGAGCAGGCAAATAGTTAGTACTTTTGCCAATTTCCAATAGCTTCTGTTCTTTTTTTTTTTTTTTTTTTTTTTGTCAACAGCATATATAATATCTCAAATCTTTGTCCATTCAGTGCTATTGTATAACAGAGATTCTGCTTATAAAATAAGCTGGTTTTTGTCTAGCATTTTAAAACAGTGCAAAAGTTAAAAAGTAGTTGAAATGGAAACATATTCCTCGAATTTAAAGAAGACTAACAATTTTCTCGCTCCTTTTATGTTCGATTGAATTAAAAGAAGAGTAACAAATACGCAATGAGAATAAGTGCAAATAGAAAAATTAGAATGTAAGATCATCACGTTTGCTTTCTCTTTTTTAACTCCTCTAAATTATTTAGGTTCGATTTTCGTTAAAAATAGATGAAAATTTTTATTTGAACCTATCTAACTTCTTTCTACACCCAACTTAAATTTTAAATGTGAAATTTCTTTATTACCTTATTGCATAATTATCATCAAGTACAAAATAAAATTAACAAAAAAAATAAGATTTATCAATAAATCCACCCCTAATAATCAAGCTCTAATTATTACGTAATTTTTCTTATACATTATGTTTTGACAAAAACGCTAAGATTCTCCCATTGAGAAAAAGTAAACTTTTTTTTATAGGTGGACGTTAATCTTAAAGTTTTGAATCCTTCAACTAAGTATGAATGGATTTATGCAAGAATTAATTTATTGTTTTAGATGTCATATATAACGTTATGACTCTGCTGCCTATGCAAGTTCCCCTATTCTTTTGTTCTTTTTGGCCTTTGGTCAGCTTTGCTTCATTTACAAGACAACCGATTGTCCTCTTTCTGGTGTTTAGTATTATTTTGTAGGCAAGGGAAGTAGCCTTCTCATTCATAAGTGTGCGTGTACATCTTTTAATTTCCTCTACTTCCTTCAATTTGTTCGATAAGACATGATTCATCTAGCAATATATGCTTATAGGTTATAACTTATAAGTTTTTATATCATCAAACCATAAAAACTTAAGTTCATATGCAACATACATCGTCACGCAAAATATCATGAGATTTTTTTAAAACAACGCTGTAGAGGTTGATGAAGACTCCATCAAAAAGCAACTGTTGGAATGAGATAATGTGTAGAAAATGCTTTGATTTTAGATTTTTATTTTTTAAATGGGTTTAAGATAAATTATAAATTGAATTGGGTTTGTAAGGGTAGTTTAGGTAGTAAATATGGGTATAAAGAGATATCAAATGTGCTAACCTGTTTTATAAAAGGAAAACTAATGAAAAATGTTTGAAAATTTGAGTTTTAATTATAAGGACAAAATAAAAAATAAAATGAATAGTAACATGTTTGATTTTTTATGTAAAAATATAATTTTTCGTTAAAATGAGCATTACCATGAACTTTTCGTTAAAATTTCTGTTTTATAAATGTAAGAACTCATGCCTAATCACATGTCTCACCAACCCAATAAAATATGTGTTAAAATACTTTTCTCCAACTCAATGCAAAGACTCATTCCATGAGAGTCTTGTCGTTCCCCAGCTTTACATGATTCGAAGTTCAATCAATCAAATTTCCAGAATCCCAAAACCCCCAAATTCCATGGACTTGAATTCCTCTCCTGCAACTCCCAATTCACCCGCTCCCATTCCCGTCGTCGCCACTCTCTCTTCCCCTTTCGATAACCCGCCTCCGGCCCAAGATGGGCCCAACGGTTCGACCCGAAAGCCTATTAGCCTCTGGCCAGGAATGTACCAGTCGCCGGTGACAAATGCGCTGTGGGAAGCCAGGTCGAAGATCTTCGAGAGGTTTTTTCTGGACCCGCGCAAGGACGCGCCGCCGCAGAGCGAGTTGCTGAATAAAACGCCGTCCCAGAGCAGGACGAAGATTCTGTACAATTTTTCGACGGATTATATATTGCGGGAGCAGTACAGGGATCCTTGGAATGAGGTCAGAATAGGGAAATTGCTTGAAGACCTTGATGCTTTAGCTGGAACCATTACTGTAAAGGTAGAATTTTTTTAGTGTTTATTATTATAACTGGATTTGTGGGTTCTGCTTGAAGTTTGATCACTTGAACTGGGTTTATGATTGTTTATGTAAGAATTTTGTGATGAATTAGGCTGAATTGCACTTTCAATTCGTAAATCCCCAGCTTTTGAACTATACATTGCTACAACTTTCTGGTTTGGAGTGTTTATAATCTTTTCAAACTTTGGATTATTCTAAGGAGCTGCCATAATCTGGAATGCATTTTGTTTGAGGCGTTGATTGGTTTAGTTTCTAGTGCGAACAGTTTTGTAAGTCATGGGAACGGTGTCTTATTTGACCAAGAGACAGTTTCTCTTCTTTGTATTGCTAGTTAAACAGAAAGGTGAGTGCCGTAAAATTTGGACGGTCGCAAGCTTTGAATTACTTTGGTACAGTTTTATTATGTATGATGCAAAGGGGGGGCTGTGGAAGCCTGGTGATGATCATGTGCAGCGATGTCTGTTTGACTCTAAATATTGATATAATGCAAAGAGCCATTCAAGTTATGTTCATTTCAAAATGTATTCTCAGTTGTTTCAGTCTAGTTGAATAATGTGATTGAATTTGTCTTCTGAAGATACTTGTGATTGACGAGATAAGTTGCTAGTTTATTTCATGTTAAATTACGTTTGTTCCAAGTGAATTTCTTGCTTGTACTCTTCATGTTGTTTAATTTTAAACCTTTATATGGATCAGCACTGCTGTGACGATGATGGCACAACAAGGCCACTCTTGCTGGTCACCGCATCGGTGGACAAGATTGTCCTGAAGAAGTCGATTAGTGTTGATGTCGATCTGAAAATAGTTGGTGCTGTCATATGGGTGGGGCGGTCATCTATTGAGATTCAACTAGAAGTTATTCAGTCAACACAAGGTACTTGTGAATTTGACGTAACTTTGTTTTTGAAATCTGATAACCTTTGAAAGTTCAACTAGAACTTTCTATATCCTTTCCAGCATTTTGCTCAGAAGGCTTAACTTCTATTAAAAGTTTGCAATTGCATTTTCAATGTTAGAAATAGAATTTGCTTATGGACACTGGTGTCTCCTTCTAATTTTTTTAATGAACAATAATCA